AAATGAATAGTGCTAAATCAGATGAATGTTGTTTTGACTCCAGTTTGAATCTGCTTACACCTAAGAACTGTTACTGGTGACTGTGAAAGGATCTAAACATAGAATCACAGAATTATAAAATAGCCTGGCTTGGAAGGGACCTTAAACATCACCAAGCTCCAATTCCCCTCCTTGAGTGTGAACCCCTTCCATTACATCAGGTTGCTCAAAGCCCTTCCAGCCTGGCCTTGAACTGCCCAGGGATGGGGCAGCCACAGCTTCTCTGGGCACCCTGTTCCCATGCATAGTAAAGAGTTTCTTCTGAATATCTTCTGAATCTAAACCTACCCTCTTTCAGTTTGAAGCCATTCCCCCTTGCCCTGTCCCTACTTGCCCTTATAAAAGGTCTCTTTCAATCTTTCTTGTGCTTTCCAGTCTGTGAGTGCACATTGATTGCTCATGTCCAGCCTCTCACCCACCAGCACCCCCAAGTCCTTCTCAGCAGGGCTGCTCTTGGTCTGTTCATCCCCCAGACTTGTGCTGGAGTTGTCCTGACCCAGGTGTAGCCCCTTGCACTCAGTCTTGTTAAACCTTCACGATCTTCACTACTGCTGTTATTAAACAGCCAAACAGCCTCCACTGTAAATCCAACATACATTTGTTTTAAGTATTTCTCAAGCACATAACAAAACCTGGCCTCAAACTTACTTAAATGATCTACTGAAACATATTACTTGCCTATTAAAAAGGAAATGTGATCTGCAAAAAATGTTCTTCTAGCATTTGTAGCAACTTTACAAAGAATGAACTGGCTATAAACAGGACTGGAAATATAAATTTTTCTCCTGTGAGGTCTCTAAATTCCCTGACCAATCAAACACTGCACAATTAATTTGCAAGCAATTTGTTTTTATATTAATTTAGTCAATCAAGTTCTATAGAGATTTAGAAAGAAAAAATTATAGGGCAAATTCTCCATATTCTCATCAAGCAGGAGACCAGCATTATTCCATCAGTTTCAGTGAAGATACACCAGATAAGATCAAGCCTCAGAACGATTCCCAGAACTTTTGAGCACTAGTAGAAATTGCACTATGAAACTTTTAATTTATATTATAATTTCTTAGAAATGATTCAGTGTTTCTTTCCTCAAGTAATTATTTCAGCAGAAGGAGTCTAGTCTTTTTCTGTCCCCAGAAACAAATTCACAATTTTGGCATTGGACTCAATGCTTCACACCTTGGTCCAGCAAAGTGTCAGAGGAATTCTTCACAGCAAAAGAGGCTAGTTTGTTTACAGAGAGGGAAAACAGCTAAGTCTCATTCTCTTTGTTTGTTTATTACTTCTTATAAAAATGTAGAAGTATACAGTCATTGAAGTTAAAAGTAAGGGGTTGAACATTTTTCTTTTTACCAAAGAAAAATACCATAAAGAAAACTTCTTAAAGAGGTACAAATGTAGGATCTCTACAAATACTTTAAAACAGACTGAATATCATCTCAGTTGCCTACATAGTCAAGAAAATATCTGCACACAATTCAAAAAGGAAATCAGGGCCAAAGGTTGTAGCTAGGGCTGAAATCACTGTTTTGTAAAAGGTCAACATACCATATAAACAGAAAGAACTTTAAGAGGTCACTTTTTCCACCCCTTTGCTCTGAGGCATTATACCTAAACGATCCTGACAGACTCTCATCTCATTTTCTCTAACAAAGCCGAATATACATTACTCATTACACAGTAATATAAGAAGGTACCATATTCCAGCCAGTGGATTCTCACCAAATTCTATTTCTCAGTATTCAGCACTTCTTCAAGGCAACCCATTAGCTGCCTGCCTGTTTTGATACACTGGACTTTTTTGTGCTGATGGATTACTCTGATGACCTGATTTTTAATTCAGAAGCCCACTTGCTCCATTTATCCATGTTAAATACAAGTACTAAAGTTTGGGTTTAGTGTAACCCATTATTAATGAAGATTCAAACCTCAAACAAACTGGGAATCCTTCAGTCTTTACCTCAGTAGTCTTCCTTCTTTGACAAGTTATCGTATAACTTCAAGTTCTTTCTAAGCACACCCAAAAAGGACCTTCCCTTCTATGTAAAAGCATCGATAGAGTTTGTCAAAACTTTTCAGGGAACTAAGAAAAGTATCTCAAAAACAAGAACACATGAAAGCCACACTGAAACAAATAGTAAAATATTCTAAGAGGTGAAAAGTTTTGTCAACAAAATTAATATATCAGAGGTAGATCCACACAAGAAAAGCAGAGTATTCTGTTTCTTTACATAAACTATAGATGAACATGGAGAGTGAGTTATTCAGATGGATATATCCTTATCTACTGGTGGCTATCAACTTGGTTATATCAACCAAAGCTTAACTCATCTTAGTAGTCATCTCTAAGGAATTGTTCAACCACAGGAGAAGAGAATACTCAAAAACCACAGGAGAAGAGAATACTCAAATGAGATAAGAGCTTTTCATTTGCTGGAGTGTTTTTGCCAAAGTTTTAGTGTGCATAAAAAGCAAAGGTAAGGGAAAGATTAATTCCTAGTCTGGCCTATGACTCTTTATCTTGCAAAATGGAGCACTCCAGAGTTAGTGGATCTGCACGCTGTTGACTTGTTTACACAAAGTCTGTTGTTTATACAGTGTCAGCAGGGTATTTCCCATCCTCCAAAAGACTGTTGACTGGTGGTTAAGGTAATGTCCCTGAGGTGTAAATACAAGTACAAAAATCCCTCAAACAAGGAAAATAATTAAGCACAGATTTCTGACATCTGTGGTTTAGTGCTGAACTATGTCATATAGGAGAGCATCACCACTTATTTTGTCTACCCTTGACTAAAATTGTATTAACCCATAATACTCATCAGAATAGATAGAATTTATTATGCTGGATGAAGACTAAGCAGTTTTAGATTACAAGAAATTGAGGAGAAGTAAGGAAACAAGAAGGAAGAAAGTGAAAAAAGGGAAGGAGGGAAAGGAGATTAGGTTGTATATGTTTTCTCTGTAAAAATTGGTAAAAAAGGAAGTATTGGATAAAACTCAGCTAGGGAGAAAAAAAAACAGAACTTTTAAAAATTGGACATAAGAACTTCATTTTTTTTCAGACAGGGAACAAGGACATATGAAAATACAAACTGGGAATAGTGTAAATGACAAGATACAAACAGAACAACAACATGCACTTAAAAACTAGATCAGAAAATAGACAATTGACTACAACTGCCCATGGGAGTGTCAGTTTCATCACCTCAATATAAATATTTCTCTAAAAATGTGGCTGCAAAGTTACCCAATAGAACAGATCTTCCAAAAGCAATGTTCTAGCCTGTCACTAAGGGTTTCTGAATGTTTTTCAGTATCACAATTGCCCTTGCTGGGAATACCTAGCCTTCCTGCATTTCACTGCCACTAAAGAAACAATTGTATTCCTTATTTCTCACTGATAGATAGATCAGTTTGTTGAAAATTAAAAAGAAAAAAAAAATTCCCACTGAAATCTTTGGTATAAGAACATCTGTGAGATGAGCAAAGCTACAAGTCAGAAAGAATTGGTAACAAAATGTCACCAGGCAAATCAGCAAATAGGTGAGATTGTTTTCATAATTTAAAACTGTCTGATGCCAGTTCATAAAGTGGTGGGGGATTGGGATGAAACGTTCTGAAATTTTGCCTGCCTGAACTAGTAAACTATTGACCCATTTTATGAAAGCTGGTGCTTTGTAAACTTTAAAGTGAGGAATTGACATAGGCAATGAAGATGTTTCCTATGTGAAATGGTTTTAAATTATTGTGTGTTAAATATTTTTCAACATATAAAGAACATGTCTCATAGTGTCTTATGATTAAAATACTTAACACCTTCATGTTTGTAAACTTCTTACTTACTATGCGCAGAAACCAGTTCAATCATTCTGAAGTGAAACAACTTCTGGCAAGAACACCAGACTCTATTGCTAATACTCTATTTAGGAAGTCTAACAGGGCTCAGAGAGCAGAAGATGTGGAGAGAAAACACCGAAAAAAAAAAGTGCATTGCAATCGGATCAAGACAGTTTTGCTGACATTTCACATCACCTTGGAAACTGAAGTAGTCAGAGATTATTAATTCTTTCTACTTTGAACTGATTATTAACTGATTCTGCTTTGAAAAATGACTGCCTGAAATTACTGTTTTCATACCCAATATATTTTTCACATGCCTTTAGAGCCCTATTTTTCTCACTTTATTAAATGAAAAACAAACCCAAACCAAATTTTTCTACTGTTTTCTCCCTCCACTCCCCAGAAGCAGGTAAATTTTGTGTATTCTGAATGCTCCTCTGTCCACAGCCCAGCTGAGGTCACGGCTTCCTCTGAGTGACCTTATATAAGGCAAGAATTGACCATCTCTTTCAGTTGGTGGGTGGGTTGTCAGGCTGAAAATACCTAGTGCCGTTGCTGCTGTTCCCACCTCATCCAAGGTTTCCCAGAAAGATTAATGTTCCAAAGAGTATTTGAAATAGATACTACTGAAACACAGACCAGACCTTGCTATGTTTACTTGGTAGAAGTCTCAATATAGTCAAAAGCCAGTTAACATCTGCTGAGTCTAACATGAATAGAACTAACACTAAACGTAACATTTTTTTTTTTATTGTATACAAAAGCAGATGTCTTTGGTTGACCCCCAAAATTTCCTCAGTTTTCTTCCCTGATGGTTTGCTACTACTTATTTTGTTAGTCTTTCAATTTACAATTGCATTGCACAGGAGTGTTCTATATTGGAATTTGGTACTATGTTACTTATTTCTATTCAGGAAGCATTTCTTCCTGCAATTTTCTCTTTCTGAGGAGAAAAATGAAAAGGGCAGCAAAACAAAGTGATAAAATCTTTTTACAATCTGTATCTGGACATACAGTGTTTTGAAACACAATCACGTTTTCATATTGTTTCCACCATGGAAAACATTTCTATCATTTTCCACAATTAATGACAAGATGTTTTAATCACATATGATCCCAGTCATGTTACTTTTTCAATCCTCTTTATCTTGCTGTGTCATTCTGATGTCTCCCTTGTCCTGTGGGTGTGAAATGTGCGCTATTAATAGCTCATTAGGTCTTCTAGCCTCTGGCTCAGTGAAGAATGATTCACTATATTTTTTAGCCATTGACAGTTTCAATTCTTTAACCTCTAAATTTCCCTTGATATATGTGGTGCCCTGTCTTATTTTAGCCTTCCAGAATATCCCTTGGCACTACATTCTGAAGTCAGACCTATCATTCCGTACATAGCAAAACTAACAAAGTATAATTTCCCTCTGCCAGTCAACCTTTTAATTCTAGCAATTTTTTCTTAATTCATTATAAATTCAAATAACTGACTGAATTGGTTATTTAATATTTGCTCATACAATGAATAAGTTATCTTCCTATGGTTCTGTGTCTTTTTTTCAGTTTGGATTTTTGTATTTGCATACACTGCTCCTGTTTAAGAGCTCACAAACAGTTTTAAAAAGAGACATAAGAAAACTCTGGCTTCCTTACCAAAGTAAATGCCTTCTAATTTACTGCTAACTGTCTAAGACCTCAAATGTTAAAATTTCCTTATGAATTTAAAGCAGTTTTTCAGATTATGCCTAAAATTTGTGCAGTACAAAATTAAAACCCTGAGCTAATTCCTACTAATTCAACTGAAAGACTACATTTAACTTTAGTGTTATGAAGACCAAGATTGCTGGTTATCTTTTTCCTTATACACTTACTAATATTGTTCATACCATACCTCTCTAGTTGCCATAGAAATTGGCTCTTATGTGAAAGATCTTTTGGTTAATTTTGGCTCCAGTAACTGAAGTGTGTTGTGGTTTGAGCCACCCCCCCGGAGAGGCTGGAAGTGGTTGTTCCAGGTGAGTTTCCGATGAGGGGTCAATCAGAGCTGTGTTTTGCCCCTGTGAAATTAGGATATTACAACATCTGGAAGGAAGTTGTTGGCAGAGAGAGAGAGAGAGAATGGAAGCCATGAGGTGAGAGGAGAGAGGCCTGCAGGCTCCTGGTGGGGGGGCCGTCTTCCCCCCTTCCTTCCCCCCCTTTTTCCCCCTCCGACCGACCTGCAGGGGAGCCCAGAACAGTATTATAACTGGACTGGGTGCCTGTGGCCAAAGGCTAGGGAGTTTTTATCCCCCACTGCCCAGGAGAGGCGGTGGTGTGCACTTGAGAGGCCAGTCAGGGGGTTGGAGCTAGCCCCACCGCCCCAGCAGGCAGGCATGGCATTGGAGTCAAGCCAGAGATGGGCCAAGGGGTGGCCCGGGAGCTGCAGAAGCAGTGGAGATCATGCAGAGCTGGAAGAATTCCAGGCAGAGGATGAGAGAAAGACTTCAAGCAATCTCGCTACCACTTTCCCCCACACACAATGGCGGAGGAGGGAGCGACCCGAGCTGAGACTGGAGAAACACGGAGACAGGCCGAGGGGCTCGGAAGTGCCCTCGTGGTTTGGACAGGGGCAGCCAAAAACCGAAGGAGGAATGCGGGAGGGAGGAATACCTCCCCGTGACATGTGAAAGTTGAGCTGAAGCTGCAGCAGCTGAAACAGAGAGAAGCCAAACCAAGCAGGCTTTTTCTGGGTAAGGACTTTTGGTGAAAACTATTTGGGGTATAGACTGAGCAAAACCCAGAAACCCTGTACCCTGGAGAGCAGGAGTGGACATCTTACTCTCTGGGAGGAACCTTCATGAACCAGGGGGAAAGGACTCAAAAGCTGACTCCCTGTAATTCGTGATGAAGACCTGGTAAAGCATATGTTCCTTTGCAGTCCAGAAGGAGACCTCGGCAGAGGCCGAGGAGCTGGTAGGGATGCAGAAGACCCCTTTCTCGATACCCCAATGAGGGAGAGACTTTAGCTATCGCCCTGATGGTTTTTCTTCTTCTGGTTTGATGTGGAAGGACTCCAGGGGTGGTAAAAATTGTGTTAATACTGTGTATTTATTTGCTTTTTGGTTTCTATAGTATTTACTGTATTGGTAATAAATTTTGATATAATTTCCCCATGTTGAGTTGTACCTGTCTGAGAACTTCTCTTTCACATTTGAAGCAAATTGTGAGGGAGCTTGGAAATTGGATTTTTGGAGAGCTCAAACCATGACAAGTGCTAAAGCATATTCTAGCTCAGCCAGACAAATCCAAAAAGTCTACTTTCTCATTCACAAAATGAATTGCATAAAAATTAATGTTTGCATTAAAAAAAAATACATTTTCTTAGAACATTCAGAAGTAGACCTTTTCTTTTTTTAAACTCTGTTCACCTGTAAGAGCCTGTACGTGAAGCTTCAGTTACTGGGATCAAGCTGGACATTTGGCCTCTCTGTACAAAGCATAAACACTTGGCAAACACCCTACAGTTAAGGACAACTTTTGACCACTGTATTGTGGCAACCGTGTTCCTAAGGCCTTGCGTCTGCCAGATGCTAAATAAAAGTGATGAGATTCTAGGCAACCTGTAGTTGTGGCATAGATTATCAGCATCTGTTAACTTCAAGCCAGAACCTAGCATATAAATTTATGTGCTCAGAAGTTAAAAATGTCAGCCTACTTATCTGTGTCTATATAGACATATGTACTATGATACTCCTTAGAGCCAACATTCTCATTAGGTTCATCCTATTTTAACTAGAACCACTGTGATCACCTGTGTTCCTTCCTCCTCCTTTCTCATACCGTTTTTGCAGGACTGTCTCGATCAATACACTTGAGATCTTTTACAAAAGCAGTGTGCCAGATTCTCTAAACAGCATGGAAGAAAAGCTAGCAGGTGAGATATTTTTTTTTTTTTTACACCTTTAAGAAGACTTTACCTAGAAAAAGAGTAATTTAAATCTAGGTTGCTAATGATTAAAGTAATTATAGTAGCACTAACGTTGTTGTGTATCTCAATAATGCATATGAAAAAGGTTTTATACCAGTTAACAGGGATTTTTTTAATCCTTCTTTTAGTTATGAACAGGAAGTGTTTTGTTTTGGGGGGTAAAAAGAGCAAAATAAGCCCTTCCCTTGGAGAATTTTTAATGATTCCCAAGGCTTCTAAAAACTTTAATTGAAAACGTTAATGGGAGAACCAATTGTTTCATTCAAAATGTTAGTTTATGAGTGGAAATTGCCTGTCTTTATTTGAGTCAATACACTTTTAAGCTGCAAGAAAATCAAGCTACCTGATATCCTTCACAGCACAAGATACAGAAACACAGCCAGTAACTTTACCATCAAGTCCTAACTTCTTATTATGTTTGAGTCATCATCATGGCTAGGCTTCGCGAACGAAGATTTGGGAAGGCTCTACCCACATTTGTTACAGGCACGCTGGTGGCTTATGAGGCCAAGACGAGACAGACATATCCGATTGCAAAAGGCACAGCAGAAAGACTCCATAGATGGTGTATTCTGGAAGACACGGTTCTTTCTGCGTTGCCTTTTCTCCTCAAGAGTGAATCCTGCGTGTGTTCTCAAAGGAGACAGCAGCGTTATAGATGGCGTGTCTCCAGGCCTCCCGATTGCAGGCCAGAGTAGACCAGTTATGGTGATCAATATGGCCAAGGCTGAGATGTTGTTTCAGGGAGTCCTTGTATCTTTGCTTCGGGGCTCCTCTCTTGCGGCAGCCAGTGGCAAGTTCACCATAAAGCAAGATCTTAGGGAGGCGGTGGTCCTTCATCCTGGAGACATGACCTGCCCAACGCAGCTGTGTTCTCAGCGACATGGCTTCTATACTTGTGACTGCTGCTTGTTCTAGAACAGATGTATTGGTCACATAATCTGACCAGTGGATGTTTAGGATTGTGCGGAGGCAGCCTTGATGGAAGTGTTCTAGGAGACGCAGGTGGTGGCGGTAGATGACCCATGATTTGGAACCATATAAGAGAGTAGACAGCACTATGGTTCTGTAAATGCTGATCTTTGTACTTTTCTTCAAGTGTTTATTATGTCATACTCTTTTATGGAGTTTTCCAAAAGCACTGTATGCCTTTGCTAACCTGTTGTCTATCTCTCCATCAATCTTACCATCCAAGGAGATGAGGCTGCCTAGGTAATTAAACTGCTGGACTGATTTGAGTTCTAATTGGCCAATGGTGATATGGGGATGATGGAAGACTTCCTGAAGTGCCAGTTGATAGAGAACTTCACTCTTCTTTAAGCTGACTGCCAGCCCAAAGAGCTCAGCAGCGTCTGCAAAGCAGGATGTTAAACGCTGCAGAGCCGCTTCTGTGTGGGCGACAAGGGCAGCGTCATCAGCATAAAGCAGCTCCCAGACAAGATGGTTTAAGGTCTTGGTGTGGGCCTTCAGTCACCTTAGATTGAATAGACTTCCATCAGTACGATATCGAATGTAGATACCGTCCTCATCCTCGAGGTCTGCCATGGTCCTTTGGAGCATCATGCTGAAAAAGACTGTGAATAGGGTAGGAGCGAGAACGCAGCCTTGTTTCACACCATTCTTAATTAAAAAGGGCTCAGAAAGTGTGCTGACTTATCTGACTTGGCCGTGCTGATCCTCATGGAGTGAAATGATCATTTTAAGGAACTTGGGGGGACAACGTAAACATTCCAAAATCTGCCACAGACCTTTTCTGCTCACAGTATCGAAAGCCTTGGTGAGGTCGACAAAGGTTACATAGAGACCTTTGTTCTGTTCCCTACACTTCTCTTGCAGTTGTCAGAGAACAAACACCATGTCTGTGGTACTTCTGTTGGCTCTGAAACCACACTGACTTTCAGGTAGGATTCCTTCTGCTATAGCGGGTATTAGTCTGTTCAAAAGTATTCTTGCCAGGATTTTGCCAGCAATGGAGAGCAGAGTAATACCACAGTAATTTGAACAGTCTGATTTATATCCTTTCTTCTTATACAAAGTGATGATGACTGCATCATGAAGGTCTGATGGTAGTTCACCTAGTTCCCAACAGCGCACCACAAACTCGTGAAATTTGGTATGGAGTGCAAGGCCCCTATGTTTCCAGACTTCGTGTGGAATTCCATCAACCCCAGCTGCTTTGCCAATTTTCACCTGCTGTATGGCCTTGAGGGTTTCTCCTAAAGTGGGGGCAGTATCCAATTCGTACTTTACCGGTTGTTGTGTGATGGACTGAATTGCTGAGTCTTGGACTACACAGTTGGTACTGAAAAGAGTCTGAAAGTGTTCAGACCATCGATTCAGAATGGAGGTTTATCTGTTAGAAGCGTTTGACCATCAGTGCTGAGTAGAGGGCTTTGGACTTGGACATCCTTTCAGGATGTAACAGAGGAAAGCAAATATATCCAGAACATACCAAACCTGGGCAGTAGCTGCAGGTGAGCCAAAACCAAATAGACAAACAAACCGACCATCTGTTCTGGCCTCTGTACACATCCAAGCCTAGGGTGCCTTTCAAGGCCCCAGCTTGACTCTAAAGGAACCCCACTATCCACCCTGACCGTATCCTTCCTCCATGGAGTTACCACGTATCTTCAGGTGCAGTGCTCACCTGTGACACTTCATATAGGAGTGCCCCGCTCTCCCTCCCGCCAATCAGAGGACCCCCAATGGCCCACTCTATACCCCTCCCCTCTCTTCCCCCACCCCCACTCCCCTGTACCCCCCCTCCCATCCCCTGTACCCCCCTCCCCCTTCCCTCCCAAACCTGGAACAGCCAACCTCTGTGTGCTCCGAAACTGCTCTCTCCTCCTCCATGGGCGTGCAGTGACTGCCGGTGAGGCTCCCCCACTCTCTCTCTCCCCTCTCCTGTTGTGGCTGTGCCTGGGACCTGAACCACGCGCACTCTGCGCACATGGCGCTGGGGGGGACTCCCGGGGGACTCCCAGCCAGCCCAGGACCCCACCACACACACGCAGCCAGCCCGGAACTCACCACTCACACGTGGCGCGGGGTGGGGCTCCCAGCAACTCGGGACCCCACCACTCACCCGCAGCACTGGGGGGGGACTCCTATGTTTGAGTATATTTTCATTAACTGGTAGGGACCACTATTCCACTAGTTGAATGCCTCTGCTGCTTTTTTTGGCAAGGTGAAATAGTTTTCCATTATCAGATATGTATTCTCTAGTGCCTGTAGGCTAGTCATTTCTCAATTAAGTCAAATAGATTGATCTTCTTTAGCTTATGAGTGACACCTCTTACAGTGAACCTTCTGGAATCTGGCATCAGTAATGGACACAGAATTTTATTCGTATTCTTAAAAGTGTCATATTCAGAGGTACCACTCTTTCTTAATCAATACTCTACTTTTACACTTTCACTTTGTAATAGGACTTCAGTTAGTCAGCCTGTCTTTACCTCTATTTCATGGTCACAGTACAGACTACTGTTTCCCACTTTGTAACACAAGAGGTTTTTTTCTCATAACAGAAAAACAGATCTTTGTTTGAAAATATGTTTAGGTTTTGTACAATTATTTTTTTATAAGAAAACTTGTGTTGTCAAGCAATTCTATGCTTCTTATTTACTTTTTGAAATATTAGCACTTTTCCCTGGAACTTTCTCAGTGTTGCCTTGATTACCTTAAATCCATTGCCACAACTCTGATGAGAGAGATGGGGAGGAAAGAGAGATTATACAGTTTCTGTGGAGCTTGGTGTCATTACATGGCTCAGAGGATCTTCCCACCACTAGCTGTGCTATTCCCAGGCACAAGTCCAATATACTCCATTCCTTTCTATCCTTTTTCGACCCATCCAGCCACTTCCACAGAATTTCCATATTAGCCATTAAATAGGGCTGGGAACAAGTCAAACTAGGGAAAACAAAATGTATTGATTCTCCAGTGCCTAAAACACCTCTGGATAGAGCCTTCCTAAATCTTTGTTCGCGAAGCCTAGCCATGAATGAATGGCACTGAGATATATAAAAAGAGATACACCATTTAAAAAAGAAACCTATAAAGTGGTAGATAAGATAAGGTTCCTCCAATTATAAACAAGAATCAAGGAAGAAGATTTTTTTTTTCCTGGTACACATAATTTGTATTTTATCTTATAGTTTGACATATCTCAGCACCTTACCATTTATCTTAACTCTGTAAATCCTGTACTTCATTAAAGAGCTTTCATAAAAGCTACTTCATCTAAAATCCTTTGCCAATCTACCTAGAGTCTTAAGGAATAAAAGAGTTACATTTGGTGCAATATTTTACTGATATCAGTTTACCCATGACATTTTAAGAGAGCCACGGGGTGACCTATATACTTTAATATCACAGACTGTATCACTGAATAGATCTCAAATCTTCCAATGAGAAAAAGTCATTACTAAGTTTATCTTGAAACTTCTTCACAGGTAATGATCTTTCACTTTTTATCTTGCATACTTTTGTAAACTAGTATTTATAGTTCTAGTATTTACTAGTATTTACTTGTGGGAACAGTCACAAATGATCATTCACAGACTTCTCTGTCAGTTTTCCATTATTGCCCTTGTTATTAAAGGAATCCTATTGTACTAAACTGTGTTTTTTCTCAAGACATCAACTCCCTGGTCACAACAGATGAAGTAGGACACGTGACTACGTGGAGTTAGTTACCTATCTATCACATAGCATCAGTGAATTACTAATTTCAACAAAATGATGAAAATTCAAAGGGCCTGGGAGTTATAATTTGTATCTGCTTAGTAAATTAAAATTCCACTGGAAAACACTATCCCTCTTAAAATATAAGATACACTTGTGAAGCTGATACACTCCTTGTAATACAGGATTATTGCAGAAATATCAAACATTCTATCGTATTTTTCAATTTCAGAGAGAGAGTTAATTCCACAGGCAGAAAAAGTTTTCTTTCAGCATGAATGCATTTACGTTGCAACAGAGAATGAGGCATATATCCCTGATGACAAGGTTCATGCACAGCAAAGCTAAGTATCAGACAACAGTTAACCTACATTTACGTTTTGAAATCATCCTTTGCTCATTGCATCCATCAGGAACTTTTAAACTTAGAAACATTTTTCTTCCAGGGTAGAAAGAAAATCGTCAGAAAAAAATAAATTCCCTGGAGTTGTCAAGTGAATGCCTCTGCTAAATTCAAATTTATATCTCTACAGTGAAAGTCTCTTCTATGACTCAAACTTGCTCTCTTGTTACATCTTGTTACATCAATATCAAATGGATTTGGTATATACAAAAATAGATGGCCTCTCTCTGAGGTATTTGCCAATGTAGTGTCACTGCAATGTGTGCTATATTAGAGATTAGCTTGTTAGCAGGAGAGGGAAAGTAAAATTGAGAAAAGTACAATTAGAACAAGGTTATCTGGTTTTACTGTTTTGTGTGACATGACATTTTACTTTTCTCATTTTTGAGTTCACAATGTGAAATGTGCACATCATACACAGAGTCCTTATTGTCTACTAAAACTGCAGTGGATCATTTTCCAAAAATCAAAATCTTAAAAATCCTTTCAGTGAAAACATATTATGGCAGAACTAATAAGTAAAAATAATGTACAAAGAGATAAGTCTAAATAAATCATACAGATCTGTGGAACTAAATATGTAGCATAATGTATATTTCAGCAAATATTCACCAAAAGTGAAACCTTTATATGTTTTGTGCCCTTGAACTTTCAGTATATTATTTTAAACATGATGGAAAACACAGGACCTACCTCAAATATTAATATTCATTACTGTGGCAGCTTAGTCAGAACAAATCATACACAACTGTATGGGATCTAAAGAAGAATCTAAGTTTGAAGATGGCTTCACAGAGAGCTCTGGGGAGAAAGTCTTATGGATCCATAGAAGTCCTTACAGTACTTCTTTAGCTTTAATGTTTACATTATTAAAATGCAAGAGGCTATTAATATCACTAAAAAATGGTGAACAGACATGAACCAAAGAACCTTTTAATCCATTTCCTGAGTTGTAAATAAAGACCTTTATGTACAGCTACTGAAGGAAATGTAAAAAGCCAACTACTGTATAATCTTAATTGGGTTACTCAGAATCTCTAACAGAGCTATCATCACAGGCTGTATAAATCAAAAATAATAGCATCTATAGGAAAGTGATCTACATCTAAAGAGGATGTCTTTGTTCCCTAAGGTGGTAAAATTACGTTTAGATATTTCTGATAGAAATATGCAGCATACACCTAAATAAAAATCTCACAGGGAAAGCTTCCTGGATAAAAAATTTCTAATGAACTGACTCTATCCTTCTCTTTTAGTGTTTTAGACCAGTTAGTGCTATTGCCTTCTTTTTCTCTGCCTGCACTTTGTTGATAGGTGAAGACTTTAGCAATACTAGCTGGATAGTGCATCTTAAGATACCATGATGAACCATTAATATTTTCTATATAAGTCAAGTAACTCTGTAAGTAGTTAAAGTATTTTAACTTTAGATAAAGATTTCCATGAGGTCTGTCTCTACCAAATATATCCTTTGGCTAATGAGAGTAGCTGCTAGGTTTGTCCTTGGGAGTCAAGAGCTTGGTTATACTGTTGGCTCTACAGAAAGTATTTAAAGAAAATCTTCAAATTCTAACTACAATAAACTTCTTTTGCAATATATTTGTATGTGTTTGTTCTCCAGTTTTTTCAAGACCTCCATAAGAAACCAATACAAAAATGACTGTACACATGGATTATGCCTTCAGCAATTTTTTATAATGTTAGGTGCTGTTTAACACAAAAAGAAAACATTAAGGCCATTCTGTACAGTTTGAGGTGGTTGTACAGGAGATAAAAATTCCTCTTATCCTTTATCTTTAGAACATTGTAAAGTTGAATTAAATAAAGCCTACAAGGTACTCTGAGATACTTTACTTACAAGTTGAATTTATTCAGATTTTTTCTATTTTAACATTAAAGACAACAAATCTAGTTATATTCAGCACCATAAAGGTAATAGTAGATAGGAATCTGACTTCTTGTCTGACCCTTATTTGTACACGTTTTTGAAACACAGAGCTAAATCTACCAGTTCAATACTCTTGAATAAAATACTACAGAAATTTTCTCAAAAATCTTCTCAAGTCATATAGGTTCTGACATAAAATGAATTTTATTTTTGATTTTGGGGTCTTTGGTTATTGTTGAGAATTAATAAAATTATTATAATGGTTTCTAGCATTCACAAAAAATAAATAACAAATTTAGAATATGTGACTAAATTATTACACCTCATATCATGCAGGTAACGTGAGTTCACCAGATATATTCTGTTTTGGTGAAAATCTATCATTATCAGTTTTTTCACTGAAGATGTGCAAATTAAAACTCTCAGTATTCAGAAAGCTGCAAAAGTGGATTTCCCCGGGGCTGTGAGTGGCTTCTGGTTACCTTCCCTCCCATTACCAACAGCTGCTATGGCTCATGCATCTGTATCAAGCAGTGTGATCACAGCAGTGCTCCTGCCTAAGGGTCCTCTCATTCAGCTTCATATACCTTTTTGCTAAAGCATGTGCTTAGAGACATCAGAATGCCTCATAACGACAGATTCTGTCAGAACCTTTATGCCTACATAAAGATTAAGTTGTAGCCTGAAATCAGTGTGTAAAAAGCAAGCCTGCTTAATGGAAATACAAAGCCACCCTGCCCAAAATTATGCTTTCCCACAGCTTTTCTTTTCTGACATACTCATCGGCAAAGGTTGAACACCTCCACTACTGCAGGAACAAATAAAAGAAAATTAAGGATGGCCTTCTTGTCACCAGCCAGCTCCAGCTTAGCTGGGAGGTTATCATTCAAAGGGGCAGGACAGGGCAACTTTCAAAGAATGCAAATGCTCTGATTATGCACAGGTCAGAGGTGACAACAGACAGAGCCTCTTTCATGTTGTGATCATCTACTAGAAACTATTGTGTCATAAAAGAGACCTTCACCACAGATATATAAACTTGAATTTAGCAGAAGCATTCACTCAACAAACGCCAGGGAATTTATTTTTTGTACCAAAATCTCACTAAAATAGAGGTTGTCTTTATGTCAAGATAGTTGTTGATTACTATTATGAATCCATATACCATTTTTCTCCTTTGATTTAGGAGAAAATAGCCATACTATTTAGAGAAAGCTGAAATAATAAAATATGTAGTTGTAAGAATTACTCATTAGCTTTAAAAACTACTGTGTATTTAGGAGACAGGCAAACACAGAAACAAAACACCTTTGTAATCTGAATATTGTAGCTTTCATTATCTCACTCTGCCTTTATTCTTTCCTTTCCTTGACTGATCTACTAATTCTCTGATTAAAAGTCCAATAATAGATCTTCATTTATAATGACTTCTCTAGAACATTTATGCCAACATCTTTACACAAAAGAGTAGTCAGATTGGCAGCTCCGTGGGGCTGGGATTCTTTTCTGGTCTGGCTAGTGAGACACTTTCCTACAAAGCCTATGGTGTTTGATTAAAAATAATATTGTTGTGTAAATACAGCAGCAACAAACAGAAGGGATGTTTGTTAGTAGAAGTAGGAATTCAGTCTACCCAAGTGCCCTGCAATTTGCAAGCAGTGCAAACAGAAACACGGGGACCTGTTGAGACAGGATGTGCTGATCTGTCAGACAGACTGTCTTGGCTTGAATGGGTGGACCTCATTTGGAAATACCTTCCTATCAGGATTTTTCATCACTATTCTTTGGAGTCTAAACAGAATTCAAAGAGAAACAAAAGAGTTGTAGAAATCTGTCTCTGATTCTTTATCATATACCCACAGAGCAATCATATACAACTCTTCTAATAAAGCACTTTTGGGTTTTTTCTTGCAGCTGATGTTTGGTACCTATGTGCGTATTTTGACAAAAATTAGACTGATGCCCTCTCAAGAACAACTACCAATAGAATTTTATTTTCATTAAAGCAACGAAACCTTACATAATCCTATGAGGAACAAAGACCCTTTTATTACTGCAGAAATCCATAACAGCTTACCTCTTTAAGGAATGTCACCTCATTAGCCATAAGACATTTTCTGAGAGACCACAATTTCATCAGCTGGGAAGAAGAAAAAGGTCAGTTTGTAACCTTGCCTCAGAACCCAACTTGCAAATCCATCAGTAAAAAGGAGAAAGAAACGTTAGTGAATACACCCACTTCCCACAGATTTGATGACTGATCATGCATTTTCACATAGAGCCAAATGTATGACATAAACAGCTGCCTTGGCAGAACACACAGTCTCCCCTCTAGCACACACTGTTGGCATGCATATGCCAATTAAGTGTATATTAGCCTCTCATAAAGCTTCCATCTACTTCAAAACAAAACAGGACTCCACCAAACAGTTCTAAGGGTACTCAACTTCCCCTAAAAGTACAGCTGCAAAGTGAAGGGTTCAGACTTGGCTTTATTGTCATTTATTTCAAGAATATCTGTTGTCATTAAATTCAAGAGATTGTTACTGGAAATTTTCTACACACTTTTTTCACATTCTGTCTCTGAGGTGTTGACCTCAATTTAATTCAGACAATGAAGTACGACTAGCAAGAAAACAACTGATGCTGCCTTTGCTTGGTGTGTTTTTCCTTTACTATCTAATTTGCAGAACTGGCATCAACGTGACAGAAATTGCACTGATGACTTCCAAAACCCCACAAAATAGCTAGAGTTGCATAATGCCCTTCATTACAGACACAGTCCCTGGAGAACAAACCATCCTAGTCTTGCTGTAAAATTCCTGACTTTGTGCTTCCATTCATCTATCATGCCTGGAACTGCATTCATGGGACTATGAGAGTTACTGCAAACAATTTCTGCCTGTGTGCCATGTCTACTGTGACTCCTTTGGTGGGAAAGCTGAGCAAGTGAGCTCAGTGAAAAAAACAGCAAAAACAGTGCCCTTCTCACCTAGGGGAAGGAAGAGTCAATGCAAAGGCAGAGGGTGATCAAGAAAAGGCTCCTGGAGTCCATAGGAACAGCTGCAAACGGAATTAGCAAAGTAAGCACAAGGGGAAGAGAAAATTGCACTGATTGTGGGAATGAAAGTGCAGCTATTGCAGAAAACCAACATCAGTAGGTGACAAGAGACTGCTCTGGCTTGCACAACTGGGCAAGACTGGGAAACATTTTGATGCCATAATGAAGTTTAAATTTTTGGAGCTTCACTGTATTCTATACTTGCATGGGCTGAAAGACTTCCTGCCACTGCAAAGATTCATTTTAACACTGTGCAGTAAGAGATAGATACCTGTGAAACAGACCACTGTGTCATTTGGGACAACAAACAACTTTAAGGATCTACATAGATGTTCTTGTTTAAAGATATTCAGTTTTAGATTGTCTTGTTAACAAGAAATATGCACTTAACAGACTGTAAGAATCCAATAAGCATGCAGATTTAAGGAATTATCAATCATGTCACTTAAAATTCAAAGATTTGGTCGTTTCTGGTTTTGTTTAAGCTATACTATTTACTGATAAATTTAAAGTGCTTTTTAATTAATATCTGCATTGAGAAAAGGTAGGCCTGTTTGAACAGCTCTCTCATCTTGCATACAGAGATCCATAAAGAACAACACTACCATGGCCTCTTTTTCATTGATGTATTTCTTTAAGGAAAAGTTTTAATTGTAGCATTAATGACAGTAAATAATCTCTTAAGTGCCTTTATATATAATTTTCTTATTCACAGTGAAGTGCACAGCAACATTAGCAACCCTCTAAAATTCAGCATACTTTGAAAATATTATCTGCTGCATCTTTTAATGTCCAAGTTTCAAGTTCTACTAATCTATTCCACATTTCTTTACCTTAGCTTGCCTATACATTACACTTTTAATGTTGGTTGGGCACTCCAGAACAGCACATACCTTTCGGACACAGCAATATCACATATCACATAGACAAGCATATCACAAGTGATAAATGTCGCTTCAGGTGCTTTTTAGTTGTTGAGTCTAAAATTTAAAGTCAAATAGACTTGTAAGATTCATATGTAAAGCATGATTGTGAAGGGACCCAAAACCACTTAGAAATTAGACTTTAAAAGATGCTCAGACCCTGTTAAAAAGGTCAGGTAAAACTTGAAGAGGAAGAGTGCAAAGAAAGGGGAAAATCAGTTAACAGAGAATCCAGGGAGCACTTCTCTAAAGGGTTCAAATAAAAAAATTCTGTATGCTATTGTGATATGAAACTTCAGTGATTCAATGCAATAATCAGAGTTGCAGGAGTCTCTTTTTATTATGAAGAATGTTTATGTGATGAGCAAAACACAAAGAGAAAGAAACAGCTAAAGAATACTTGATGGGCATTTTAATCTTCTATTAATATGCAAATTTTGTTCTTTAGGACTCTAGGAAAAAATATGTTTTTTTCATAGGCTATTTAAAAGTGTCTGACTCTCCCAGAGGCGCTTCTTGTATGAATCCAAGTGAAACACTCTATTTATGGTAATTCCCCAGATACTACTGTATGCACTATTTTCTTTTTGAAATTATATGGAGTTTACTGAACCACATTTGTAAAACATTCCACAGCTGATTTCATTCTAAAGATCTCCTCGAATAGAGCCAAATCCCCTGTTGATCTGTGTCGTATGAGGATGATAAGAAAATCATCTTCGACCATGAGAGAAGAAATGAAAAAGTCAGTATGAAAATTTGGATAAGAGTTTCTGATCAAAAAATGGATAATTTTGTCTTCATAATCATCTGTAGTCACATATGTGTCCCTGAAAACACAGAAAAATATTTTCCTTATTATATGCCATTCTTCAGAAGAAAGGCAGGTTTACTGCTGGAATAACATCATTATTGTTATATATTCAGAAGTGCTTTTCCTGATTTCCTTTATACCTACTTATAAGCATTACTGTCATAGTGAAAAATAAAAATAAACCCTGCAAAATCTTGCTTGCTCCCATCAAAAGGGAAACTAGGAATTGTTTTTAATTTTTTTTGCTGTGAAGTTAAACGTTCTCTCCCTATTTTTCATATAGAAACAGCAGAGCAAGATCATGAATTAAAGTCTGCTTCTCTTGCAAGTCTTCCTCACCTTCTGTGGTTTTATCCATCACTAAAGACACCAGATTAAGCTCTAAAAAGTACCCATGGAATTCAGAATTATCATGAAGTTCAAAATCCTTTTGTCTTATTATTCAAAAGGCTGTAATGATGTGATCTGACTTTCCACTGTGAATGGTCTTTGTATCTGATCCCACATGAATGTCTTCCTACTCAGATCCATCATGGAATGATGGCTTCAGCTATGGATCTCCTTTGGCTTTTATGAATTGGGGGATAAGTGCATCACTGTGAAATGTAATACTTCTGTGCAGCTGTAAACCTGGTGAGGAAGGGAGACTTATGCACTGGAATTCCATCAGCACATCCTGTTAAGAGATGTACATTACCTATCTGCAGACACAATATGGAAAGTAAAACAGGGCTCCAAATCATGACCAAGAAAAAAGACAATTTTTCATAGGACTACGGAAAAGTGTTAGAGATAACGTGCTGCATCTAGGACCAGGAACTGCAACTTTCATCTGTCGTGAAAGCTTCACAACTTTCTCCTGCTGCAGCTGCCCAGAGAGGTTATAGACAGTTATAGATGCCATTCTGCCTTTGGAGAAAAGAAGTGGTAGCGTTTTGGCAAAAAAAGGAGGCAGGAAAGCCAGTATAAATGCAGGATTGCATAAGCTAAAAGCCACAGATGGTGGAGAAGGGCGTTAACAGTGACAGTAGCTGTTGGGATTATTTTTGCCTAAAGACACAGTTTTAAGTCAAAAAAAAAAAAAAAAGTGACCACAAGCAAACAGTTTAGTTGGCTTTAATTTTTTGAATCAACTTAATCTGACCAGACATTAGTAAACACAGTGAATGCCATACCCTGAAGGGGAGGATTTAAATAGAAAGCACATAAATGGATAATAAGAGAGGATATGCTAGACAAAGTGATTACAGCCAGTAGAAGCACTGACAGCACATATTCTACTGTCAGCTCCACTCATTCATGAGCCCATTTTGGTTAGCGTGCAGAGGTCCCATCAGAAAGGCTTGGCATGCTTTGTCCCCTTACATTGCTGTGGGGCAATTTTTTTTACCAGTTAGTCTTCCACACTGGCACCCAAACTGGAAAAAATACTTCCATGCTCCAGTATGTTTTTAAACTGTTGCAGTGGGGATAATGGTCCCCAGCTGGATGGAGGCTGAAGTGGCCTTACATCTGTGTGAGAGCAACCATACCTTGGCTAGAAAAATGGCTTTTTTATTCTAGTCCCTTCTCAGCATTCCTCAATGCGTAATTAATTGAATTACACATACCTTTATCTTCAGTGGTCACATTCAGCCAGAGTTCCTGTCTTTCCACCCAAGAGCTTCCAAAGCAGGAGAAGCTAAATTGCAGATGCTCCATATCTTGAGCTGTTGCTCTCAGAATTGTTATATTTAACTAATTTGGGCTCCGTTTCTGCCTGAAACTACAAAGGTTAGTATACTGGAGCACTTAGAGATTGCTTAGTAGTGGCAAACGGTGGGGAAATGACCAGGACGGACTATGAAGTTATGCAACAAAAGCTAGTCCACATGGCCACAAAGTAGCACAGGTGGGAGAGCTCCAACAGAGACCTGCCAGATTAATCCCAGACCCACCTGCAGAGGAGCCATCAGCCCCTCAAAGGTCTCTCTGCACAAGCCCAAGGGAGTGAAGAGACACAAAGACAGGTGGGAACCCAAAGTTCCCAGAAGGAAAGACTCTGGCCAGGTCCCTCCAGGACAGTTCCAGGAGAGGAATTAATTCGTGGTTGAACAAGGGGAGTCCTGGTCATCATGGGGCAAGGCAGTGAGTAAGTCAGATGATCTGTGTCAGCAACAGGAATTTTCCTGCAGCCTCAGTCTTGTGTGCCTGGGTGCCAGCAGCTGGGAAGACTGGGATCCAGGGTCAGCTAGTGAAGGGGTCCACACTGTATCCATATATATTCTCACCAAGGCTCCTTCATTCTGCTCAGCCTGAGAGGGAAGCAGGATGAGGGCAATGGTGCTGTTTGAGTTCATGTGACTGCTGAGTGTACATGTCTGTGACATGTGTGGTCAGCCACATATATCTGTATATGTGTGTTGTACACATTATTTTGTGTGCATGCACCCCATGTGAAGGCATGTTCAGCCTCACTACTGCTTGAACCTGGGGGGACAGAGCTGAGGCAGCCTCACCTTCTTTGGGCTGTTGGATCAGCCTCTATATAAATCCACAGACAAAGTGGATTCTGTACCTCAAAGGGCTAAATTGGACCTACCAGTGCACCACCAGGCAAACCTAGAATAAAACCTCACACACTTCTCTGTTAAAGCAGAGTTACAGACAACAGACAAGCAGAGTTAGAGACAAGCAGGTTGTGTTAGTATGTCTTGTAGAGAACTGCACTAACACAGCCATGTTGTTTCCACAATCCAGATGGCCAGTCCTATCTGAGCTATCTGCAGGTGCAGAGAGGCCATGACTGACCCCTGTTTCTCAGCACCCTCCTCAATTCATGTCATATCAGAAGGGCAAGGCTTGCAGGGCTATGAATGTCGGTACAGGAAAATGTTTGTACCTCCCCACAAGCTTTCCAGGCTTGTTACTGGCAAGCAAGGAAGGAGGACATGTAAGCTAGTTAACTCTGTAACATCTTCTAGCTGTCACTGCTTTATGTTACAATAATAAGAAATTATTATGTCTGTTCACTGAAGCACTCAGAGAAGATGCAGTGTGTATAATCAAAGAAATTAAGGTTCACCAGCTTGGACCAAGCTCTTTACTGCTCCAGTTAAATAATACCCAGAAGTAGCTCATTCATAGACAGCTCAATTAGGTCAGTATCCTTAAACAGAAATACAATACCACATAGTGATACACACAACATAAACAGAAATACAGCAGCCCGCAGTGACACATACAACATGATAATAAATCAAGTTTTGAAAGTAAGAGCTGAAAAAAACTTGAAAAAGAATCAGCAGCATGCCAAGGAAGATTCAAAATCCTGAAGATCTTCTTGTGAAATCATTCTTATAAAAAGCATTTTATAAGAATAAAATATTGTGTGTATGTGTGTATGTGTGTGTGTGTTTGTGTGTGTGTGCGCGCTAAAAAGAAAAACAAAATAAATTATCTTTATGGCATAAACTGAGCTGTGGCAAAGATTAAACGACCTTGAAGTTCGCAAAAAGGCACCCTGTACAAAGTCAGTTCTTCAAAATGACAAAAATATTACCCCATAAACAGTTGGCAGAAACAATTAGCGAGAAAATCTAAATTATACAGTCTCAGTCAAGCAGACAGATACTTCTGGATTTTTCTCTCCATTAATGTTAATCAAGTTAGTAATTTCTAACAAACTGAAGGCAGTTGTAACTCCATTAATTCCCACCCCCTTCATCTCTGTGTGTATACATGTGAATAAATCAGCATGAAAAAACCTTTGATGCAAAAACACACTATTTTAGTTCATTAGACATGCACCAACAGAAGATAATGTATTCATCTTCTGGGTGGTAAGCACTTTTAAAAGTGGTCCTTTCATCCAATCCTGCTCATTGTCTTCCCTGTCTAACAGTCAGAGTAAAAATATATGGACTAGGAAAAAAATCCATATTCCACTCCAAATGTTGAGTATGTGTGCCTAACTAACAATAGGTTTCAGTTAACTGCAAATAATGGATAAGTATATTACCATACAACAAAAATATGAAACGGTGACACATGGGATTCCTATCTTAATTCAGTCTGCTCAAAAAGTGGGTAACCACAGAGTAAAAATATGTAGGCAGAAGATATGAAGGCTTTTACATAATAAGTGTTTTTATATTTCTTATAGGTATTCTTAGGACTAAAGTAAGTACCCGACTGAGTCAGGAATATTATTTGGCTTTATAAGGCAAACTGTGATACATGTCTTCAGCTTCCAATCAAACACAAGTGTGCCATTGCTCCAGCCACAGAGACTTAGGTGACAGATTAATCTGAGAATTCATTACTGCATAGTTTGGCGCTTTGCTTAGACACCTCCATACTCTGCATCTCTCCGCTGTGGAGTTCAATGGCATGAAAGGATTACAGTCTGGTTTGACTAAAAAAGAACTGCATTTTATCTCAAGACGCTGTAGATATATGTGAAGAGTCATAGAATCATAGAATCATAGAATCAGCCAGGTTAGAAGGGACCTCTGAGATCATCAAGTCCACCCCTTGATCCACTACCACCGTGGTTACTAGATCATGGCACTAAGTGCCACATCCAGTCTCATCTTAAAAACCTCCAGGGATGGAGAATCCACCACTTCCCTGGGCAGCCCACTCCAATGCCTGATTACCCTCTCTGTAAAGAATTTCTTCCCAATATCTAACCTAAACCTCCCCTGGCACAGCTTAAGACAGTACCCTCTTGTCTTGCTGATAGCTGCCTGGGAGAAGAGACCAACCCCCACCTGGCTACAACCTCCTTTCAGGGAGTTGCAGAGAGTGATGAGGTCTCCCCTGAGCCTCCTCTTCTCCAGGTTGAACAGCCCCAGCTCCCTCAGCCTCTCCTCATAAGACTTGTGCTCGAGTCCCTTCACCAGCCTTGTTGCTCTTCTCTGGACCTGCTCCAGGACCTCAACATCCTTCCTGAACTGAGGGGCCCAGATCTGGACACAGCACTCCAGGTGTGGCCTCACCAGTGCTGAGTACAGGGGAAGAATCACTTCCCCGGACCTGTTGGCCACACTGTTCCTGATCCAGGACAGGATGCCCTTGGCCTTCTTGGCCACCTGGGCACACTGCTGGCTCATGTTCAGCTTCCTGTCAATCCAAACTTCCAGGTCCCAAGTCATAAGGAATAAGGTGGGGCAGTGGCCTTATGCAACCTTTGCAAGATGCATGGAATA